GCACTCCTACACCTTGCTTACTCGGTAGCAAACACGGTGAAGGTGGAAGGTTGGCTGTGAGTGAGACCAGTAAACATAACACATACAAAGAATAAGATACCAGCACCAGTGAATTTTAAAACCCGAATCCCTATGTCCCACACACCATACATGGAATTAAGAAAAAGTTGAATTTCATGACGGTGATGGTGCACTGTCATAAATTCATGACATTTGTGCAGACTATTTGTTCTCATAATTATTCCAAGTCTAAAAATAGGTCGGACTTCATGCGTCTTTAGTACAAAAAACTGACAGAATCCAGTCTACGCTAATCCAGGGACCAGATGCATGATACTGGATCCAAGGTTGTCTATCGACTGCCACTGACCATATAACATCGCTTCAGATTGCATCACGATGGCAATCTGCCTATCTTGGTTACCGCAATCTGTTAATCTATCCTAGGGGATCAAATACCCTGCCAGTATGTCTAATAGCTGTTTTGACACTGTTGAAGACTATCTACAATACACTCAGTTGCCATTATATGTTTAAATGTCTAAGCTGCATATGCATCAGGTTACACTACAAGCGCTTGCAGAATTAGTGGATCACATAAGGATTTCGGGATAGAGTGAGATCACAATGTCCTCACTTTAATTTATTTGCATGAAATAAAGTTATCAGAGTTGACATCTATAGCCTTATTGGGAACGAATTAATTTCAAAGTGCTTTCCATCACGAATAAGCATTAATGGAATACAAAAGTACACAAGATCCCAGGTGAGGTGCCTCTTTTTAGTAGGATCCAAAGGATGTACACACATGATATACACTTGAAGACGAGGAAAACAATTGGCGGACACTCTGACTGAGCATAACTACCCACAGAAGTTCGTAAGGAGATATCCCTGTCTGTCTGTCTGGATTCAACATAGAACTTGGCACCGAAGTGCACCAGTTCGAGTTGCCACGTTCCAAATAGCACACAGAGGTAGACAAGAAGATGAGTGAAGAGAATCAATACAGTCTGACAAGTATAAGAGTGAAACAGAATGGGTAATGGTAGAAAGGAATATGAAAGATTACAGAGACTGAATACATCTGCGCCATTGACAACGATTTTGAGCCATGTCACCTATTGTCTCCAGCCATTGATTCCTAGAGTCCCGAGGGCCCCAACCCGGAGTCTGCATCTCCTAACTGACTCAGTTTAGCTGTCAAGGATTTCATGGATTAATGCCATGTTTTTGTTTGGACACCACTGGCTCTTTTCCAACCTGAACCTATATCATCTAGCAATGCCCGTCGGGGGAGGCGGTGGTTAGACATGCGCAGCACGTCACCTAGACATCTTAGTCTATGTAACTTTATAGCCTCGTCGATTGATTTTCCCTCTTTGCCCAACACTCTACGCCTAACGTCAACATTACTTATCTTGTGAAACCACCTAACGTGAGACAGAGATCTCAGACATCTATGATCGAAAGCAGTCAACCTTTTCATGTCTTCAACTCGTATTGGCCATGTTTCAGAGCCATAGAGAAGGACGGAGCGAACTGCAGCTGAGCAGTACACACGTCCCTTGATTGATAACCGGATGTCGCGCCTACGCCAGAGATGGTGTAAGTCAGCGAAAGCAGCTCGAGCTTTTCGGATCCGTGCTGAGATTTCATCGCCAATCAGTCCGTTGGTGCTAATACAACTTCCTAAATAGGTGAAGTGGTCAACATGTTCTATCACTTCACTCCCTATCACTAAGTTAGGGGTTGACGTGGTCCAGTCCTATAGCAGCATCTTACATTTTGTAGGGGCGAATCGCATGCCAAACATACGAAGATTGCTGCTTAAGGTGTTCAGAAGACTCTGCATTTTGTCAGCATCCTCCCTAACAGGACTATGTCATCTGCATATTCTAAGTCCATAAGACTATTCCCTGGTAACAAGTCGATTCCTAAGTCATTACGTTCAGTTAAAGATACTTCCATCAGCATATCTATGATGAAGTCAAACGGAAATGGGAAAGTGGACATCCCTGTCGAAGGAGATATAAATTGGAGATATAAATTGGTTAGAATACTAAGACCTATTCCCCAGCCCACCGCTAAGAACGACTTACGTATCAAGTTACCATACCCCCTTGTAACTAGACATAAATTGAATGCTTCGCCTAAAAAACGCTTTATGCAGCTAAGATGTGAATAACTGAAGTGTGAAACCTATGTTTCCATCTAAACCCTCAAAGCATACGAAAAATGGTGTCACATCCGCCATTTAAAATTATATATATATATTTGTTATTTCAGCTTGATTCCGTATTTTTTTGTTACAGGTATGGAATTTTCAGCATGTGATATCAGCAGCCCAAATTTTGCAGGCCAACCATAGATATCAGGTGTGCGTCGGCAGAGGATCAAACCGCGGACCATTTGCATGGTTGGCAAGAGTCCTAACCACTGTGCCACCGACTTACCTGTGGTCACGCATATAAAGGGAGGACTCATCGATCTCTGCAAGTAAGAGCTTTAGAAGCAAATCGAATACCCCGAACTAGTCAGTGTGGTGAAAACAGACAACATAGGTCTTCTACTGCGAAACATATCATAGAGGCACAACATAGAATTATTGTTTGCAGCACCTCTTTTAAACCTATCTATAAAAAGTATTTGAGGCGGAACCTAAAATTTGTGGAAGCCCTAACGAATACGAAGATTGAACCACCTTTTAAGTGTACAAAATCAATTCATCATCAAACTAAACCTTACTTCGTAGAATTTATTTTGGTAATTTTATCTCCCTTCTTTGGTTAATTGATCTCCATCGCCATCTTGACATCCAGGGTGGCCTTTTAACCTGACCTATTTCTATTCTGTCACTTCTTAAGATCATATTTCGGTTTGATCTTGTTTGAAATGTGTTGCGCGATTATATTACACGAACCAGATAAATCACGTCTTCTATTCAAGTTGTAGTTTGTAGGGATGTGATTGATTGGTTACAAGATTTCATCATGAGCTGACATCGGTTAGGGGACTATTAGAAAACTTGCACGAAGTAATGGAAAGTCGTTTCGTCTTAGTTTGGGACTCTTCATCGGTGAAATGGCAGAAGTTGGAATTCATGGTCTGTCCACTGGATCGGGTCCCACTGACTGAATGATCTACGAGCTCACCGTGTGACCATAGGGTCCCGGGTTTGAACTGCAGTGGGTACGTATTGCTGAAGGGTCCCAAACTAGGCTGACGAAAAAGCTGTCCAGTACTTTGCTCTGGTTCTTCAATGGTTCTCTAACCCATGTCAGCTCATAATGAAATCTTGTGATCACATCTTTCGATTCGTTTGTCAGAATAAATGGGTTGGTCAGTGTAATTCTGGACAGATATTTTGCACATGACTACCCTGTAACTCAAAATGATCAGTCTCGATCACCAGTACATTATAGTTCTGACATCGAACAGTCTTTAATTCAATGTGACAAGATTTCCCAACTGTGCCAAATAGTTACACAATACAGCCAGTATATAATATCATTGCTGACTAGCTCTCTTGATAACTGACACAGTAAACTGTATCGAAAGTCAATCTGAACGAAAAATATTCTTTTCAATAATTTCTCCTCTTCAGGTTCTTACAATTATAAAATATAAGTTGTCGTTACAATAAAGGTCAGTTATGCGGCGGGTACATGAACTGGCAACGGTGGAGAAAACGCCTCTGTTTATACATCTCCAATTCAAGAGAGATACTCCTGTGGAGATTCTATGCCAACGTTTAACCAGAGCGATCAAGAAAACTTTCTATTCTGCATGTCTTTGTCTATCCTTCAGTAGCCTTCCAATGTTCACCCAGGAACCCAAACATGTCTTACCTAATCTTAGCTCTTCTTCATGCACATACCATTTCAGCTGTTCCTGTGGTTCAAGTTATATAAGGCGCACGACTAGGCAGGTTCGTCTACGGGCTCGAGAACATTTACCGGCTTGGTTCAGCAGGGGGGGGGGAGTTAAGTGCATAAAAAGCTCGATTCTGTCACACTTGGTCGATACTGGACATCGTATCGATGTCAACACAGCTTTCAGGGTTGTATGCCGAATCGCGAAGTCGTTATCACGTACAGTTTCGCCTACGTCTCTTACCAAGGGGTGAAGGTGTTGCAATAAGATCTACTAAACCGGAACTTTGTATCCAAAAAGAACACATCCAGACGCTGTTCCTACTGTGGCGAAACTTAGATTGAAGATTCTTCTTCTTACCAAGAGTGCTCTTTCCCCTTAGCCCTCTTGGTTTTTTTCCTTTGATCACTATTACAAATTATTATTAATACAATTATTATTATTCGTCATAATTTATGCCCTTCATGCAAACATTCCCTCAATACTATCGAATTTTCATTTATACTATACGGACTTATTATTAGTGATATTATATCTTTTCTCAATATATGCTTCCACCTGTTTCATTTAACATATTCGTTATCTCACTATGAACCTCTCATTCCAGTCTTACTATCTCCTGTTTAAGGCAAACCACTTTGTACTAGCCACTCACTCACCTGACACCTTTTATAACCTTGAAATGACTTGTCAATTTTCCTACCCCACACTCTACAAATCTATTATGATTAATCACCAACATTGTCTCCCGTTTTACAATATTTTGTTAATCGATTGCAGCCTAGCACGTTTGTCACACAAATATGACTATTTATTTTGACACCCCATAACCAATCTGTTATTCTACGTTAAAAATGTATTCGCCGCATGACTAACTGGCCTGTATTGTAACGATGACAAATATTATCATTTTATAATTGTAAGAACCTGAAGAGGAGAAATTATTGAAAAGAATATTCTTCGTTCAGATTGACTTTTAATTCATAATATGGGAATATTTCACACTGTTAAATTGTATTGATCACGCTTTCTCATTTCAACTTCAGGGAAATCCATAAAATTATCCCCAAACAGGTCTTTAGGTGTCGAACTATATTTCTCAATGGTACAATAATAAATCTTACTTCATAGTAGTGACGCTTCGGTGATCCATTCGACACTCGGAAAGCTGAGCATATTGGCAAAACAAAGCCACACATTCCTTCGAACAAGGCGAACAACAAGAGCAGCGAAGACATTGCAGACGATCTGAAGGATAAAACATGATTAAAGTGAATATCGTTCTTTGGGTGTTTTTACATTTTAAATTAAAAAGGTGATCATGGAGCACAATAACTGCACCTTCAATTACTTCCCTTAAACAAGCAATAATGGTTAATAAAGCAGGATATAACGAATTCATCAAATTTCGGTAGTCGTTGAGACTATTGACTTCATATGTAAAAAAGCTGAAGACATACCCATTCCAACATCGGAATTGAGGAAATTGTTACTTTTGTGTACTAAAAATGTCCAATTTCCATTCAATGGGTGTCTATTCCGTCAAGTTGATGTTGTCGCAATGGGAAGTCCTTTGAGACCACTTTTCGCAGACTTATTCTTCTCAGGCCTAGAAGCCGGTTCCTTGCAGCAACATACACAAGAAACGGATGTATACCTAAGATATGTTGATAACATTTTTATTGTCTGTGGAAACAGATCAAAAGCTGAAGACATGTTGATCAAATTCAACTCATGCCGTCCGAATCTCAATCTCACAATAGAAAACGAGAAAAACGATGCTATTAATTTCTCAGACGTTTTTCTAGCGAAAATGAATGATGGCACAATCGAAAGATCTATATTTAGAGAGTCTTCATGGGCAGGATAGTACATGCATTTCAAGGGCTTTGTTCCAATCCAGTATAAAAAGTACTTAGTCAGAACACTGATCAATAGAGTACGAAAAATTTGTTCTGACAGTACTATTGAGCATGAAAAAAATGCTCTGAAGGATATATTATCTAAGAATGGATATCCTGAGAAGTTCATTAATAAATACTCTAAAGAAATTAGTCCCTGCAAAACAATCCAAACAGTTCCGAAGAAACCTGTCTATATCAATTTGCCATTCAAAGGAGATGACGTACAGGAAGTAGTGAAACGAAGGCTCGAAAAAGCCATCAAGAGTACTTATTATGCTGCAAAACGTGTCTTTCTTAACACCACTAAGCGAATGCCTCAACAATCTGGGAAAGACTAGTCGCCAATCCTGGACACTTCAAACTGCGTATATCAATTTGAGTGTGTTTGTGGAGGCAAATAGATAGGCCGTACAGAAAGGCGATTGTCTACTAACATGATGGAGCGTTTGCCAAAATGGCTGAAAACAGCTGAGTGCAAGGTGCCAAACTCCTCAATAACAAAACACCTTGTGGACTACGGACGTGATATCGACGTGGTCAAGTCATTCACTATTGTTAGCAGACAAAGAAACAGGAAGATGCTTGCAATTGCAGAGGCTTGTGAAATTCGGGTTTGTAAATCAGGTCTCTGTGTATAAAAGGAGATGGTCGTGACTCAGAATCTACCATGGTAATACGTTTTACTTATTATTCTACCTGTTTTAATTATTATTCTTGATTCATTTAAAACTATCCTTTATCAGTAGCATTATCTAAGCTCACTTCAACACTATTATTATCATTGTTATTATTATAACAGTTACTATTGACATTACTCTGTTTGCAAATCTTGTTATACTGTCTAATGTCTAATTGTTTATCTAAGTGATGTAATTGAAGCGTAATGCAATTTATCTTAATTTCGATCTCTCATACTCTCTCTTTCCCTCAATTATCTATTTAAACATGACCTGGAAAACATTCACACCTGTCTTTCGGCATGATTAATTCAATGTGGTTTGTTTACTTATCAGTCTTATATCTCCCAGTGTAGTTTCAAAAGTATATATATCCGTGTATGTAGAGCATTCAGCTGACGAGTTTTACCGAAATCTGATGAATTCATTAAATCCTGCTTTATTAACGCTTATTGCTTGTTTTAAATTCATGCCGGGAAATAAATGTTTTCAACTTCTTCCTTTGTCATATGCAACATTTATGAATCTACAAAGGTTAGAATGCAAATAGCAAATGAAAATTATATCAGAAACTTCATTGTAGTGTACAAATGTAGGATGGGATAATGGTCCACCAGTTAGCGTTGTCAATTGAATGCATTTAAAATGCACAGTCTTATTATGTTCTTTCTACTCCTTTTGACCTAGTTTACTCCACATCATTATCGCTATTAACTGATTACAGTTCACTGTTCGACCCCTTTATTTTATCATTATATTTGTTATTTGTCAGCCCTATAACTTCTCTTCAGTGTGCCACACATTTTTGTTTGTATTTCTGTGGTATTCGTGCTCATCAATGTGTGTCTACGAATCCATTTGCTCATGTGGATTTAGTTGCATGGGCCGTACTTGGAGGGCTTTATCCATGCACCATGAACCAGGTGGAATCCCAACAGAAGCATTGCAAATGGACTCAGAGACAACAGCGGACTTGATGACACCACTACTGGAGAAGGTGTGGAAAGAAGGCAAAGTACCTGAGGATTGGAAAAAAGGATACTTATTCCAACTACCAAAGAAAGTAGACTTAAGTCAAGCCAAGAACTGGAGCGGAATTATGCTCTTGTCCATCCCAAGCAAAATACTAAGCCGAATCATCCTGGAGAGAATCAAACAAGCCACCCTGGATGAAAAACTGCAACCGGAACAGGGCTGATTCAGGAGAAACAAGTCATGTATTGATCAAACCGCCACACTACAAATCATCATTGAGCAAAGTTTGGAATGGCAGTCACGTTTCCACCTCACTCAACTTCATCGACTTTGAAAAGGCCTTCGACAGTCAGCATCGATCGAGAGGTGGTTTGAAAACTACTTCGCTACTACCAAGGGGTGCCATCGACAATTATACACCTCATCCGACAGTTATACGACAATGCTGCATGCCAAATAATCCACAACGGGAAACTTACGGAAGCCTTCAAAGTGAGGACGGGAGTGAGACAAGGCTGTCTGCTATCGCCAATGATCGTCCTGACTGTAGTGGATTGGATAATGCGACAGACAACGGCAACCAACTAGGGAACGGGCATAAAATGGACTCACACAAAAGACTTGGAGGATCTGGACTTCGCCAATAATATATGTCTGATTGAAGTATGCGCTGAAGATGTCACCCAGTAAGGTGATGAAAGCTTCGCAAACTAACCATCCAGCTCAGAGAACAAAACCACATCAAAATATGTCTGATTTCCCACAAACTGGAAGATATGCAAGTGAAAAGCAACAAGTTGGCAGAAGAAGCATCAAAGATAGGGCTTCAGGTGAACATAGAGAAAACAAGGGTGATGAAGATTCTTGGCCAACACCAACAGCAACAACAGACCACAATCAGCATAAATGGGAGGAACATGAAAGAAACAACCTTCTCTACCTACCAACCTGAGAAGCGTCTTTTCAACTACAGGTGAACGGGACTGACGAGGATATAAAAGCAGCTGTGATCGGGAAAGCAAGACATGCTTCACTACTTTGAAGTCTGTGTGGAGGTCAACAGCCCAGCTCAGCATGAAAACGAATATAAGATCCAGATTATCAACAACAATGTGAAGTCAGTCCTACTTGCCATACGGACCAGAGACTTGGCGCGTCATGAAGAGCGCCTCAAACAAACTACATACTTCCATCACCAGCTATCTTCGCTCAATACCCAAGATCAGATGGCTGGTCAGAATAGACCAGAAACAGGGATCTCTGGCAATTAGAGAACCAACCCAGCAGGAACCGATTGTGAAACAAATAGGCAGGAAGAAATGGAGATGGATTGGCCATACTCTGAGAAATGAAACCACCAAGTGACATCACTAGACAAGCCATTGCTCGAGTGGAACCCGATCGAAAGGGAAGCAGCGAGTTGGTCGTCAGTGCGAGGGTGACTTGGAGGAGGTGGTGATGTGAAGAGGAGTTGAAAGCATGTGGTCAGACTTGGAGCGGGGTGAAAAAGTTTGCGGAAAATCGAACGCAATGGATACGTATAGCTAAAGCCCTTTATTCCTCTAGGAATTAAAGGATTTAATAATACTAATCCATGCACGCACGTGAACACGTAACTGTGTGGTTGAGTAGAGGGTTGATCAACTGCTTATAAATAGTGCAGTCTCATTCCACTTGGTAGATACTGGACATTTAATAAATTCTGACTAGACGTTCCCAGTTATTGACCGCACTCTTGGTAATCTGTCTAAAGGAGCCTGACTACGTCTTCAATCAGTAACTGAAGCAGTTACAATCAACAACAGACGCTCGGCTGTTTATATACAGCAAAATGTATGTTCAACCATTATGCTTGCCTTGGCCGACAATAAGGTCAATAAATCCTCCATTGGTACATTAAATTCATATCTCATCGTTTGCCTTTCTTCTTCAATCCCTTTGCTTCATTGGAAAAGGTTCATTTCTCAACTTTTACGTCTTCATGACCTTTCTTATGATTTCTATTACTTCAGGTTGAAGTAGTGCTTTTCTAACTTGCTATTATATTTACAAAATACTGCTCATTTCACCTAGCTAAATTCATTATTATTGTTACCTGACAATCATTTACCAACAGTACTTTTTAATTTTACACTACATCATCGTCGACGCCAAATAAAATTCAGATTCGCATCATCCTGAAGAGAATAAAGGACGCACTGCATACAGAACTCCGCCAACCAGAACAAGCTGCATTCAGGAAAGGCAAATCACATTCTGACCAAATTGCAAATCTACGCGTCATCATCACAGAACTAAGCATGGAATAGTAATCAAACCTCTACCTCAACTTTATTGACTTAAAGAAGGCCTTCGAAAGCGTTGACCGCGAAGTAATTTGGAAGCTACGCGAGTACTATGGCGTACCCCAAATATTCATCAACCTTATTCAGCAGCGGTACGACAAGGGCACATGTCAAGTCATCCACTACGGAAAACTCAGCGAGATGTTTGCAGTAAACAAAGGAGTCAAACAAGGCTGCTTATTATCTCCAATGATATTCCTGATTGTCGTGGACTGACTGGATTGTGCTTCAGACAGTGAGTGAGAAACGAGAAGGCAGGGATATCCTGGATAGACAGACGTAAATAACCTAGAAGACCTGAATTTCGCGCGTGGATGATTTATGTTTGACGTCACTGTCACAAAATGGAAGACTTATAAGCGAAACCGACCGACAAACTGATCGAAGAAACAGCCGACGAAGACAGGACTCCAGGTGAACATAGACAAGACGGAGGTTATGAAAATAACCAACCAGCCAACAACAACAGCAGCATCCAGCGCCAATCATCATCAACGGGAGGGATTTGAAGGGGGTTACTTCATTCACTTATCATCTAGGGAACATTGTCTCAACTACACGAGGGAACGGACCAGGATGTCAAATCGAGCGAGAATCGGGAAGGCAAGAAAAACATTTATCAACCAACCTGAAACCAATCTGGAAATCCTCGTCACTCAGCCAGCATCAACAACGAAATTCGGTTGGTTTTTTCAATGCAAACAACATCAAGTCTGTCTGTTCTTCTATACGGATCAGAAACTTGGCGGCGGGTCACAAAGAATATTTCCAAAAGCCTGTTGCAGACATTTATCAACCAACAACTGTCTTCGCTCTATACTGAAGATCAGATGGCCGGCCTGGAAAGAATCACCAACAAGAAACTATGGGAAGGAACAAACAAAACAGGAACCAGTCGACTAAAAAATATGCAGAAGAAAGTGGAGACGGATTGGACACTCGCTGAGGAGACCGCCGGGTGACATCGCGGGCGCGTCAGGCCACTGCTCGAGTGGAACCCGAAAAGGAAGTGACGAGTTGTATGTCCAAGGGTGACAATGGGGAGATTGTGTGAAGAGGAGTTGAAAGAGTATGGCCTGACATGGATGCAGATGAAAATTACAGCAGAAGACAGAAGCAAGCAAGTGTAGACGTGCAGTTGAAGCCTTATGTTTCACTAGGAATCCGAAGGAACAATAATAATAATAAATATACTCATCCAGGCATGAAAATCGTCAGCCTAAGCGGGAACTATTATCGACTATCTTCAGTCAGGTGTGGTAACCAAATGTGTTGTTTAGCCAGTGTAAAAAATCCAAGATTTGAAAAGGAAACTAGCTCACCTTCTATCCGAGATGTCATAGTCTGCAAGCGCCACACTTGGACGACTGAAAAAGAAAAGAAAGCAAAAAATAAAGTAGTAGGGTTACTTCAAAGTTATAAACAGTTTCTATTGAGTCAAAAATATGTGTACAAGGTCAAATTAGCCGTAAATGTTTTTAAAATGCCGCTCTATGCCATTCAAGTTAACAGGATGAAGTTAGAACCGAAATTCAGGTACAATTTTTTTTAACAGTAAAGCCAATAATACCTGACGTATTCATGAATTTTGTGGGTAGAGAATGCACTTAAACCATTCAGGTCGTCAATGAAATGTTGATAGAGATATGTAGATGACACGTTAGTCAGTCATGTAGACTCAATCAAATTCACACTATGGAAATAGAGAATCAGTTTGAGGAAATGTATATGCTAGCCAGACTGTGAAAGTACAAACAGTAAGATTGGCAGCATAAAACTAGACATTCTGGGAGATGTTTTGATTATCGCTCAACTTATCCACTCACGGTAAAACGAGGATTAATACAACGTCTTTCAGACAGAATTACGTAGACTTACAACAACACTAGATGATTAGCGAAAAGAAATAAACGTCCTATTCAAAATGTTACTCGATAACACAACTACCCAAAAGAATTTATCAGAGATAATATAAAAAAGAGGGTAAAACCAGAGAATGAAAAGTAAAAGTGAAAGGTGAAAAAACAATCACAATACAATATAGAGCTGGTAGATCAGAGGCAATTCAAAGAAGCCTCAAAAATATTAGGATTCTTACCATGTATAAAGGAAAGGATCTTATTAAAAATAAAATAAATCAACTAAAAGATCCCCATAAAAATGATGGATAAAAACAATGTGATTTACAAAATATCTTGTGCCAAATGTCCGATTAAATATGTGCATCCAGCCTCTAGATCACTCAAACTAACAGTGAATGGACATAAACGCCTAGCCGACTAAAGGTCATCAATCCACAGGAGCACAAGCCTACAAAAATTTAGAAGATAAAATTCATCTATATCGCTTCACATGCATAGGACAAAAACCATCACAATGAGTGGGACAAGGTTTTTTAAACCTGAGATCTAATATGAACAAGTGGAAAAACAGACTAATAACAGAATGCATATTCGAGGTTAACTGGTGGATGGTGACTAACAGTGGAATCCACGAGAAAGAGCATTTCGTCCTATTTGCGACTAGTCATCCAGTCACCACCCGCCAGTTAACTTCTAATTACATGCCAAGATATCGTCGAAGCATTTGCACAAGAAGCCAACATGTCAAACAGAGACCGGTGACTTTGGTTAAGTCAATCGATGGGATAATCTGAAAATCAATTCAACGAATTCAAATTCATTAAGCTCATATCAGTATTATGTGTAACAAAGGTCACTTAACAGCACAACTCTCAACAACACAGAATATAATTTTGGATACACAAAAAACACAATGGACAGAAAAGTGAAGTGTGTACATATGTGTATGAGTACAATTCTTAAAAGTGTGAATTAAAAACTAAAAATCAAATGCATCAATTGGTATGATCATGGAGGCAGTAATTTCGCTCGGAACATTACCAAAACAACAAAATGAAATCTCATAGTGTCTAAACACTGTTCCAGATACCGAGAAGTACTCTTAGCGTGCAGTAGTGGTAGTAGTAGTAGTGGTGGTAGACTTGAAATTAAAATGTAACCATTTTATTTGGTTAACAGGCAGAATGATTTAGCTACCAAATGTGAAAATTGTCTGAGATATGTATCGTTACAGTTTGAAAGGAAATGCTTAGTAGAAGTTAATGAGAAAATAATGTAACAAATTTAATTTAATAGAATGAAGACGATTGAAGACGAACAGAATGTAGGTAGTATCGTTTGGAGAGATGTATTTCTAATAGAGAAGATTTGTAGCTCAGGTGGATGGATGATTTGCAATTAAAAGTGTTCTCTGAGGAGCTGGTTGGTTTAGCTGCGGAGCTTTCGTCCCTCCTCCAACTGCTGGACAACATCCCCTTTCAGCGCAATTTTTAGTTAGCATAAAGTGAAATGATTCAAATTTCTTCATGATTGGTGATAGAATTGCGTCTCCCGGTAACTATCTTTACACATGTATTGATCATTTTCTATTTAACTTGGATTTTAAAAATTCCGGTCACCTGATTTACTTTTTATTAGTAGGTTGTATATTTGGTCTATATTAACGTGTTTGTAAATTGCATACTCGTTTGAGTACCAGGCTTCTGGCTTCGCTCATATCAGGATTAATAGCTGAAGCCGTCATGCAAAGATTAGAATTAATATCTCTACCTATAAGTAAACTGAAAATCTGAGTACGTTACATCAATGATACATTCGCAATAATTAAAAGAACTGATTTAGAATATACCCATAAATTAATAAACAACATATTTGAATACATCAAATTCACCACGACAGAAGAAGAATTAGATAACAAAATACAATTTTTAGATGTCTTAATCAGGGGAACCAACACAGAAAATTTAGAAACACAAGTATATGAAAAATCAACGCACACACACAGATCAAATACTCAACTATACTAGCAATAATCCAATTTCTCAATCACAAAAGAAATTGTGCAGACATTGTTCAAAAGGAAGATCAAACACACACTGTAGCACGCCAGGGTTCAAAGAATTGGAGAAAAATACCTACTAACGGTCTTCCAAAAAGAATGATTATCCACAAAATTTCATCAAAAAGTGTTTACAATCGAATCACAACACCAACAAGAAACCATCATCAATGACCCCAAGAAAATTCATCCTACAGTACATGAAAAGTATCTCTGAAATAACAGCTAGAATATTATTCCCGTTTGGAATAGATATAGCACACAAGCCAGCCAACCACCACCCAGCCATCACAATCACTACATTCCATATTGTGCTAACCAAAAGACCCATCCAACAGAAAATGAAGGTAAAATCTATACCATTTGTCAAATAAATTGTATCAACTCTAACAGACATTATATTTGTCAAAATGGGCGTCCGCTTCAAATCTGAATACAGGAACACAAATCAGCCGTGAAGAGACACGATATATATTCCTGTTTCATATCAATGCATACAGGCAACTATTGAAGTCAGTTTGAGGATTGAGATAATGCCGAAATCCTAGACAGAGGAAACACCACAAGAAGTGCAGTCAGGGAATTCCTAGAAGCCTGGTACTCAAATGAATCAGCCAGCAATTAACAAACACGTTGATACAGACCAAATATAACACATACTAATAAAAAGTAAATCAGGTGACCGGAATTTTTAAAATCCAAGTTAAATAGAAAATGATCAATACATGTGTAAAGATAGTTACCGGGAGACGCAATTCTATCACCAATCATGAAGAAATTTGAATCATTTCACTTTATGCTAACTAAAAATTGCGCTGAAAGGGGATGTTGTCCAGCAGTTGGAGGAGGGACGAAAGCTCCGCAGCTAAACCAACCAGCTCCTCAGAGAACACTTTTAATTGCAAATCATCCATCCACCTGAGCTACAAATCTTCTCTATTAGAAATACATCTCTCCAAACGATACTACCTACATTCTGTTCGTCTTCAATCGTCTTCATTCTATTAAATTAAATTTGTTACATTATTTTCTCATTAACTTCTACTAAGCATTTCCTTTCAAACTGTAACGATACATATCTCAGACAATTTTCACATTTGGTAGCTAAATCATTCTGCCTGTTAACCAAATAAAATGGTTACATTTTAATTTCAAGTCTACCACCACTACTACTACTACCACTACTGCACGCTAAGAGTACTTCTCGGTATCTGGAACAGTGTTTAGACACTATGAGATTTCATTTTGTTGTTTTGGTAATATTCCGAGCGAAATTACTGCCTCCATGATCATACCAATTGATGCATTTGAATTTTAGTTTTTAATTCACACTTTTAAGAATTGTACTCATACACATATGTACACACTTCACTTTTCTGTCCATTGTGTTTTTGTGTATCCAAAATTATATTCTGTATTGTTGGGTGTTGTGCTGCTAATCCACGGCTGCAATTTTTTTTTGAGTGAATTTCAGGTTACACCGTCGGGCAACCACTTGGCCTTTTTGAACTATTGATGAGAAATGCGCGTTTTTTTTCTTCTGTGTGATGCTTATGAGCAGAGATTTTATCCCACCTTGTTATGAATATTCTTATTGACTGTCAGGTGATATGCATCTGTGTGTGTGGGGCTGTTAAATAACGTTTTTGTATAGTAGGTATTTTGTACCCTAGAAAAACTTTGAGCTGTATTTAAGATATGAGTTATGATTGCACCAGAATTCGTCTATCACATCAAATTGTCTTTTAGATATTAGGGCAATAGCTTTGGAATATGTGTTTCCAGTGGTAGTTACACATACTATGCGGGGAGAAGGACGCATTGAATGATTCCTGCATTCCACCTGAAATACTAGAAGTTCGCTTGCTATGATTGTTATGCGGATTTGGTGTAAATGGGTCGTCTGAGGTGAATGGTTTATTTGTGAAGCTTTCATTGCCTAATCAGGCAACATCTTTTGTGCATACACTTCAATTTGAAGTGGTCTTTAATATTTTTCCACCAGTTTATTAGTCATCTCTCCTGGTGAATAGCCTTAAACAACGTTGTGATTGGCTGTTTCTGTGTGTTTTCACACCCTCTAGGCCTGAAGTTTCACCCTCTGTGTGTATTTATTGATTGACGATTCACTGGAATATCAGACGGCTTCTTAAATTTCTGCAGCATTCTGGATCTTTCCTCTGTCCTAGTTCAACTGATGTCCATGGTTGTCTGTATGCAGTTAGGCGATATGAGTGAGGGAGTGGATGTCATGTCGTTTGACGGCTAGCTTATGTTCGTGGATACGAAGACGAAGGGACGTCCACTTTGGCCAATGTAGTGTTTTTCGCAGTTGTTACAATTTATTTTGTAGATGATGTTGGTTTTATCTTCTTTCACTGTTGAGTCTTTTGGTTGACACAGAGCCAGGCGAGTGAAATGATTTTATTGGATTGCGTTCGACATC